ATATATATATATAAAAATAAATATATAATAGAAATGTCTACATCCTGTTAAAGAATAAATGAAATATGTCAATCTACTCAAACTTGTCGCCAGTGCTCCAGTTGAGGGGGGGCATCCAAATAAAAATGGTCAAAATCGCCCCCTTCCCATCGCTTGTGTCATTTTATCAGTGAATGTGGTATTACTGCTATTTCAACATTCAGGAGGTTTCGCGCATATTGAATGAACAGCTGCAGCTGTGCTGTGCTTCCGTCACCAGATTCATCACTAATTCATAAACATACACAAATATTCAAGTCACAGTTCACATGTACTGCAGTGAATGCTTCTGTAGGATACTGTAAGTCACATAACCAGCCACATAAAGAAAGAAAATGAAGAAAATGTAACATTAAGAATTCCGCGTAGAGCTGGACTCGATTTCAATTTCGATTTAAATAAGAAGACTTTGTTTTCAAAACCCAAAGGCCAAGATCTAATTCTAAGCAGCCTGCTGTTGACTTATCTGTTTAAGTTTAACACTGGATCACAGTTTAAAATGTAGTTTATATTTATAAATGAACTCTGCCATGGCCTGTTTTAACAATGGACTGCTAATATCCGTCATAAAAAACGTTGAAAATTGCAATAGCTGAAATCAAAATTTTAAACAATAGTATACTGTAAATCGGAATCGCCGTCGGAGGTGGCTGCTCTGAGATGCCTGCTCAGCAGGGCGGGGGCGCTGGGTGCTCACTGACTCATGACTGCGTTGTATAATTTTATTCAGGGAAAGATAAAAGTGGCCTAAACTTCATTTTGTGGCTATACTGTCGGGGTAATTATTCAAATTGTGCACCTGTAATAACACCACTTGGTTTAATGGGTTTAATTTTTAACTTTCACTTATTCTTCAGCAGCATCAGGTAGTGTTAAAGCAGATAAAAAGAGATCCACACACACAAAAAAACAACACATTACATATATAAAACTTTATGAAGAGTCTCATGTTTCAGTTGCAGGACACTGCTGCGAAAACATCATAGAAATCTTTGGTATTTTATTGAACACTTTCACTGTTCTCATCTCTAACTGAATCATTACCACTTCAATACAGGTTAAGTAGGGGAACACAAACAACCATTCTGAAGGTAACTGCAACGGCAAATGCGTCCTGCTGCGTTGTCTGCGCATGTAGAGCCGCCCGCAATTCTCCGACCCCAGCTGAAGAGGAAAGGTGCGTAGACAGGGAGAGGCTTAAAAAAGCGTAAAGCACTGCAGCGAAGTGCTGTAAAATAACTGACATGTTTTATTTTGTAGTACTCTCACACACTGTAAGTCAAGCTATTGAAATAAAGTTTGATGCACTTTTTTCAAGCCTGTGAAAACGACCCTTATGTAGGGCTGCTCGATTATGAAAAAAATAATAATCGCGATTATTTTGATAAAAATTGAAATCACGATTATGCAAACGATTGTGCAGCGCACGTGATGACTTATATTGTTTACACAGCATGTCATTTCTGTCTCTACATGCGCGTTTAAAATTCTCCTCTTCTCTTTGTGTCGCACACGGCGGAGTTTGGCCCCGATGCGCATGCACAGACACACACAGACCAACCTCTCTCGCTCTCCCTCTGCCATTTTCTGCACGCTGTTTTTGAAATATTCCGTGATCACCTGCCACTCGCATTACTCGTAGTTCACCTACTTGACTGTCTCGTGGAGTGAGAAGAGGAGAGGAGGGGAGGGGGAGGTATTGCGTATGCGTGGCTTCCAGGTGCGTTTGATTTGCAACACAAGACAACAAGAGTAAACTGACAAGAAGCGCATAATCGCTTTATGTCGATTATTTTGTTTTCATAATCGCTGAAAGCCCATATTGGCCCATATTGTAATCTAGATAAAAATTTGATTAATCGAGCAGCCCTAGTTAACGTTAATGTTAATATTGCATTGTTGAAGACAGTAACATTTAACGTGAAGGATTCATAGTTTGGCCTTCACGCGTTACGTTTTGAACAGCACTAATGTCAGGTAATTTTCTGTTATAACTCATTTCTGGTTGCATTTTCAGATGAGTATATTAAAGTGTTTTCAAAAGAAGACGAAGGTTCCCGAGGAAGAGAGTCAGGCAACATTAGATAAAGGAGAGGTGCAATGTTCTTAATTTATCATGACAGTTTTTCAAAAAATCCTGGAGGAAACCCTGTTAACTAGCCTGTGGAATAACCGCAGGTACCAGCCCTGGAAATTAACATGACTCCTGTCTGACTGCTGAGCATGGACACTTCCTGTGTCTGCCCTTTCAAATTAAATTCCAATATGGTCCAGTCATATAGGTTTTGATTTATTTTGACAAGGCGCAGCTCCTAATTTCATGGTTGTTTGGTTGTTTTGTTTTACCTCTCTGGTCGACTAACGTTTGATCAACTATTAGGGGCAGCCTTTGTCTAAAGCAAGTGTCTGTCAAATATCCAACTTAAAACTAACTTCACCACAGTACAGCTGCCCACAGTGTTTGGACTGACCTGTAGGCCTTACTGAGATGCGAGACAGATCCAAGGGGAAAACTACGAAGACAGAGAGGCCAAACGAAGAGAAATGCAAATTACAATAGGTTGTGCTATTTCAGCACCATCATCATTTAACAGTGACCTCTAGATATTTAAGCAGCAGAAACTGCTGATAGGGTATTTCAGAACCATGGTCACCATCATGGATTTTACCAAAAACTTGCTCAAAACCCCAGTGAGATAAAGGATACTAGGGCTGTAGTCAACCAAAGAAAATCTTGGTCAACTTAAGTCATACATAATCTTCAATTAATCGATTAGTCGTGGGGAAAAAAATAGTGTGTCTGTGTCACTCTGCAGTTACACCTCCAAAACACTAGTCGGCGGTGGAGGACTGTGTTAAGTGCTGTAAAGTTTAGTTGATTCAAAACACACGTATGGCTTAACAGAGACAATTGCAAACACAAGTACACAAATTGGCTTCACTATAAATCGCAGAATTGACAGACAAACACTTGTCTTTATCTGGACACAACCCCCCCCAATACAACATGCTAATGTTATTAGCACAAATCTATGGCATTTTATGTTGTATAAATTAGCCTAGCATCTAGCAATCTTTTCATCTTCTCATATAAAACCAGGGACAACAGCAACATGTAACAAGGGTAACAGCACACATTTTGGCTCCATTACAACTCACAAGATTCACCGACAAAGCAACTGTCTTATAAACACCCCCATTTTCACAGCTTAGGCCGTGTTAGATGAGAACCCCCTGGCAGAAGTGAGAGTTCGTCTCTTCTCGACAAAAAACACAGAGTCTGTCCAATATCCAATTAAGACACAAAAATGACTTGACTCAACCTGCTTGACTCGTACCAAGGACTTGACCTGACTTGCTTGATTCTAACCACAGTGACTTGGGACTTGCAAGAGACTTGAAGGTTAAAACTTGAGACTTGCTTAAGACTAGCAAATGTGTGACTTGACAGATACCTGACTGAGGATCTCTGGTCTCCGTCCAATCATCACTGTCATCAGTCTCAGGTTGTAAATGTGTATCTGGATCTGAGTTCCTGGCTGGTTCTGCTCCTCCACAGTCCTCTCCCTCTGCTTCTGTTTCCATCTGTTCAGTGTGTCTTTGATGAAGCTGTGAGGACTGAGGTTTCTCTTCATCATCTTCACTCTTCACAGGGACAGGAGTGGATGTGAACTTGGTGATATCATCCTCCTCCAGCCCTTGAAGCTGCTCTCCCTCCTGACTGATCCAGAGTTCCTCCTGTTCCTCTTTAATGTGTGGAGGCTCTGGGTCCTCCTGGTCCACACTGGAGCTCCACTCCTGCTGCTCAGGGGGAACCTCTTCTTTAACCACCGACAGCTGCTGGACGTCTGCAGGAAACAGGAAACACACACACAAACACAAACACACACACGTACAGATCTCTGATCATCAAACAGCTTCACAGTGTTCACTCAGCTGTGTCAGAGTGAGTGAGGCTGAGGTGAGCTTTAATTTCATAGCAGTCATTAACATGTACTGTTACTCTTGTCATGTCTGGAGGCTACAGTGTGGCTCTTTATTTGCTCAAACTAAAGTGAATTGTGTGAGAATGACTGTCCATGGGATGCGAGACCTTGCTGTGAGTCGAGTTTTATGACTGGCAGCCTGAGTAAATAAAATAAAATTATATAAAAGATTCTTCAACACAAATGTGGTGTTTTACTCAGGAAAACCGAGCTTTGTATCCACGTTATTCTTAGCCCCCATGATACCTTGCATGAATTATAGATGCAGCTTCCAGCGCTGAACCAGAACAGATGTTTTCCGATCATAACGGTACGGAATGGTAAACTAACAGTTTGCTAATCCTCTTTTCTGGAGCGATTTGGAAATAAAACATGGAACACACCACCTGTTACACCTCAGATCTCGGACAACTTGATCATACCTCTGTCAGCTCTGACTGCCATTGCAAAGTCACCCTTTATGTGATAGTTATAAATTGTTTAAAACTGATTTCACTTTTGAACCTTATCTGATTATGTTAAGAGCTGCCGAAAGAGTTTGTTTGTCTAAGTTTCGGTGTGGAAATCATAAGTTACCTATCTCTGAGCGCAGGTATGATCGTGAAAATGTCCCCCGGAAATGTACTCTTTGTTTGACTGGCAATCAAGGAGACGAATATTATTATGTACTTGTGTGTTCTTTTTTTGATAAAGAGAGAAGAGAGTTGGTCGGACAGTTCTACAGAGCAAATCCAAATATTTATAAGTTTCAAAAGTTAATGTCATCTCGAAAAGTAAAGGTCTTGTCAAATCTGTTGAAACTTTTAAAGAAAATCTTGAATAGTTTCTCTTGATTTGCTTTGACTTGTATGTATGTACACAAATTCTGTTTTATTTATTTTGCTGTGCATTGGCTGCCGCCTGTCCTGATTTGTTAATGTTTTTTTTTGTTGTCTGCCCCTTATACCCCAGGGAGGGGTCAAAAGGAATAAATAAATGAAAAATAAAATAAATAAATGAATCTCACAGCATTTGTTGTTTTCCTTTTTACCCAAGTGTGTTTGGGTCTCACGTAGGGTTGCCACTGTCCCGTATAATATGTGACCATCCCAAATTTAAAATGTACTGTCCCTTACTAAATCAATTCAGAACACAGTTTCATGGAACATAGCAGAGAAATATTAAATCAGAATTTGCAGAGGAGCATGACACAGAATGACAGGGTCCTGTTTAGGCCGAGTGTTAATCTATAAAGTTTATGGATTTATAAATCCTCATGTGCTCCAGATTCTGTTTTACATAGTCGTTGTGAAGCTGGGCGCACGTTTGCACTCTCACAGTGAGACATGAATTGACTGAGAGGCACACTTAAATCTGTTTGCGTATCTATGTGCGCCAGTTTTACCACTCATTACACCTGCCACTTAAGAGACAGTCTGTCGTTACACGCGACCATTAAGCACAGCTGTGGCTATTAATGGCGCCCATGTAGTTGTATTTTAATTATCATTATTATAAACCTAAGACAAACTATTGATGATTCATTTATAGTGCTCTTATTAAAGCAGACTTAACAACTTACTGTACTGGCTCAAATGTAAGCTAATGTAAAAGATTCCATAAAACAACGACACCAGAGAAGCTAACGACACCAGAGAAGCTAACGGCACCACAGAAGCTAACGACACCAGAAAAGCTAACGACACCACAGAAGCTAACGACACCACAGAAGCTAACAACACCACAGAAGCTAACGACACCAGAAAAGCTAACGACACCAGAAAAGCTAACAACACCAGAGAAGCTAACGACACCAGAGAAGCTAACGCGGCGTATAAACGTCGACAGACTGAATATTTTTTGAACAAACCTGCAGTTATATTATTAATAATGAACTTGTAATGTTTAATGAACAAACCTGCTCTGTGTAACCGAAGCTGAGGGTTGAAAACAGCGTCCAGTAGTTTCCGATGTCGCTCGTTCTCCTCTTTTGATCGACAAAGTTCCTCCTCGTACTCTGCTATCGTTCTTTCAACCAGCCCAAATATCTCTTCAGCAGCCGCAGTTAGTCGCTGCTGCACCAACGCTCTCAGCATTTGGACTTTAGACATGCTCACACTTTAAAAACACAACAAAGAGACTCTGCTAACACTCTTCTTTTTTTCCCTCCTCCTCCTCCTTCTTCTTCTTCTTCTTCTTCTTCTTCTTCTTCTTCTTCTTCTTCTTCTTCTTCTTCTTCTTCTTCTTCTTCTTCTTCTTCTTCTGTTTTAATGGCGGGCTACAAACCAACGTTAAAGGTGCATGCCGCCGCCTACTGTATCGGAGTGTGTAACATCATGACTTTATACTGGGTTCATTTCATAGATTTAAAAAAAATCAATAAAAAATACTCATATTCTGGACATTAATCCTGTTTCATATATGTACTTAAGAACTGCCCTTTGAACCTGAGCCTGTTTCTCTCCTAGCTCTAGGAGCCCTTTGATGCTCCATTCCCTACCCATTTTGACCACACCATCCTTCAACCTTTTCCTTTCTGTAATGAATTTCCTACATCCAAATAGTACATGTTCAACAGTTTCTCTAAGTCCACAAGTTTCACATTTATCTGATTCTCTCTTTTTCATGATAAACAGTGTACTGTTTAGTCCTGTGTGTCCTAGTCTTATCCTAGTGAACGTGACATCTTCTTTCCTACATTTCCCTCTGGACCTTTTCACTCTGACAGACTTTTGAATTTTGTAATATTCCCTACCCTTTGTGTCATTATTCCATATTTCCTGCCATTTTGTCTTAATTCCCTGGTGGATTATTGATTTTGCCTCTTCTCTCCCAAAACAAAGATCTAAAATATCATTTTCATTTTTGTTTAATGCACTTTTAGCCAGTTTGTCTGCTATCTCATTTCCCTCAATGCCTGCATGCGCCGGAATCCAACAGAAGTGGACATCTATCCCTAGATGCTGTAGGTTCAATAAAATCAAGTACACTTCTAACAGTAGATCTTCTCGAGCTGTTTCTCCAGATTGAATACTCTGCATTGCAGCTGCAGAATCTAAACATATAACTACTTTAAGTGGTTTGACCTGCTCTACCCACTGAAGACTGATTATTATTGCTACCATTTCTGCCATGAACACTGACAACTTGTTTGAAATTCTTTTGACAATACCTTTATCAAACTCTGGGATGTAAATGCCTACTCCTACATGCTCATTATTTGGGTGTTTAGATCCATCTGTAAAAATCTGCAGGTAGCTGTAATAACTGCTCTTCAGATATTTTTGAGCCAGATATCCTATGTTCAGATTATTCTTTATCCAATCTGTTTTCTTGTCTAATATTTGCAGGTTAACTTTGGGTTGTGGAAATATCCATGGAGGAATGCTGCTAATTATAACTGCTGGACTATGCTGTATGGAATCTAATTTGTACTGTTTCACCTCCTTATTAATTTCCCATCCAAACCCTTTACCAGTAAAAGTTATGTACTCCCAACAGTTTTGCAGAACAGAAGAAGCTATATTTCCATTTCCTTTTCCCTAAATTCTTATCAAATATGCTAGTGATAATTTAGTTCTTCTTAAATTCAACGGCAGTTCACTGGATTCCACCAGCAAAGCATTGATGGGTGTGGTATTAAATGCTCCAAGACAAAGTCTTAATGCTCTATATTGCATCTAATTTTTGTAGATGACTTTTTGCAGCTATATCAAACACCATACATCCATAATCCAAGGTGGCTCTCAACAGAGCTCTGTATATGTGTAGTAATGCCTCTCTGTCAGCTCCCCATGCCAGACCAGCCAAACACCTCATGAGGTTTAACATCTTTTTACATTTGGTCTCAACTTTCTCAATATGATTTTTCCACGTATGTTTATCATCAATCCATAGACCTAGGTACTTAAACACTCTGACGCTTTCCATGGGCTTACTGTAAAGAGTTAACACCTGCTTGTTGTCTATTTTCTTTTTAGTAACCAACATATAACATGATTTTGAAACAGAGATTTTAAATCCCCAATCATAGGACCATCTAGCTACATCTGTTATTGCTTTCTGGATGCATTTCAGAACATGTGGCGTGTTTTTCTCCCTTTTCCAGATTGCTCTGTCATCGGCGTACAATGAGGACTGTATACCTACCCCTGTATTCTCAAATATATCATTAATCATTATATTAAATAGAATTGGACTGATGACGCTGCCCTGTGGTATTCCATTTATAATGTCGGAACTATCTGAAATTTCAGAACCTACTTTTACTTTAAATGTCCTTTTTGTTAAAAAGTCTATGATCTAGTTGTATAAGCGTCCACCTATGCCTAACTTATTCATTTTAATTAACAGGCCTTCTCGCCACATGGAATCATAAGCTTTCTTGATGTCAAAGAAAACTATCACTATCACTTCCTTCATATTTAGGGTCTTCTCAATGTCATTAGTCACTTTAATTAATGCATCAGTTGTGGATCTTTCTTTCCTGAAGCCACTCTGATACTCATTTAACAGATGTTTTTCCTCTAAAAGGTATGATAGCCGGTAAACAATCATTTTTTCCATCCATTTACATAAATGTGAAGTGAGGGCAATAGGCCTGTAATTTTCAGCATTAGCTGCATCTTTCCCTGGTTTAACAAATGGCAAAACTAACCCCAACTTCCACTCATCAGGTAGTTTTCCTTCCGACCAAATCTTATTGAAAAGTTTTAGTACGATTTCTAGTGCTTCCTCTGGTAATTGTCTGAACATGACATAACTCAACTGATCTGGTCCTGGAGCAGAATTCTTGCTGCCTTTTAAAGCCCTTCTCATTTCCCTCAAGGAGAAATCCATATCAGTGGCTGAGCTACAGTCTACCTTTTTGGTGTACACATTTCCCTTATCTTCTAAAACTTCCTCCTTCCTTCGTTTATGTATGTCTGTAAGATGATTGCCACTATGAACATTTGCAAATATCCTCCCTAAAACACTGGCCTTTTCCACATCTGTTATTGCTAGGCAATCTTGTTTAGCAAGAACTGATATTTTAGTGGCAGCCTTTCTTCCACTCATCTTTCTGAGCATATTCCATACATGACTGACATCTCTTTCTCTTCCAATAGTAGAGCAAAAGTCTCTCCAAGTATTCCTTTTAGCAATTTTAATTATTTTGCAAGCTCTAGCTCTTTTTCTTTTGTATTCGATCAGATTGTCTAGACTCAAGTTGTTTCTGAGATTTCTGAGGGCAATATTCCTTTCTTTAATAGCCAAACTACATTCATCGTTCCACCATGGCACCATTCTCTTATTCCCTCTTATTACAGTTTTAGGAATACTTTTTGAGGCAGCTTCAGATATCATATTTGTAACTTCAGCAGTACACTCATCCACATTACCCTCCATCTTAATACTGTCAGCCAGTTCCCTGCAACATACTTTAAAAGTGTTCCACTGAGCCTTTAAAGCACCATCTATATATAGGGGCTCTTTCTTGAGTACATTTATCAATTTCTATAGTGCACATGATGGGAAAATGGTCACTCCCTATGTTGTCTTTGTATATTTCCCAATCGCATAGGCTATACATACTTGCAGAAACCAGTGTTAAATCAATACAAGACATCTTATTCCTATTTACATCTAAACGCGTTCCTCCACCATTGTTTAAACATACAAGATTTCTTGTGTCCATCATTTCTTCCACCACTGTACCATTATTATCAGTATGGTCACTTCCCCATAAACTGTTGTGTGCATTGAAGTCACCACACCAAACTTCTCTGTGTCTTTCCTCACCCATCATTTCCTTGAACACAGCTGCAGTTAGAGTATGGCAAGGGTTATAATAATTAATTATTTTCACTGGGTTTTGTGTACTGTACACCTCAACAATTGTACATTCATGTTCATTTGCAGTACGTATTCTTTTAAATGCTAAATTGTCTTTAATGAACGTGATACATCCACCCCCTTGGTTATTTGCTCGATCATGTCTGACTGAGTTGTATCCCACCATAACAAAGTCTAGATGGGGTCTTAACCATGTTTCCTGAATATATATTATGTCTGGTTTAACACTCAAGTCTTTAATGACTGTCTTACATTCCTGACCATTTGCGATTAAACTCCTGGCATTCCACTGAAAAATTGTGAGTACCATTATTAGATTAATCGCTAAAAACATCATAAGTAAAAGGGTTCATCATTTCTTGTATTGTTTTACACTCTACACTTGAGATCCCAAGATACTCCTTTGCAGCTTCAACAGTCGTTTCAATTCTCTCATTCCTGTCATTTTGTTCTAATCCGATGTAAACCACTTTGCATATGAATGCCACAAAATTTACTTTATCAGCTAGCAGAGTTCTTTCCTTTACCTTACACTTGTGGGAGGTCTCATGCTGGCCTGTCTGGTGCATCTTACTGTTTCCTGCAACAGGAGGATCAGTACTGTTAACAATGTTACTCCTCTCAGTTTTGTTTTCCTTCGCTACCCGTGCATTATTAACACTCTTAACAGCCTCTGCATATGACACTTTGTTTAGAATCTTATATCTTTGTGCTTCTTTTGCTTGCTTTTATACCACACAGCCCCCAAAAGCTGCACTGTGGTCTCCTCCACAATTGCAACACTTAATCGGCACATTTTTCCCACACTTTCCAAATGCATGGTCTCCTCCACATCTTGCACATCTTTCTCTACGTTTACACTGTTTTGCAGTATGTCCCATTCTCTGACATTTAAAGCACATTAAAGCTGGAGGAATGAACTCTCTTACTGTGTAGCAGAAAAGGCCTAGCATAACTTTTCTTGGAATGTCATGTTCAAAGTCAATAATTACTGACTTTACCTCCCTTCAGTTCTGTTTTAATCTCTTCCACTGAGACAGATAGTGGTACTCCAGAAATGACTCCCCTATGTCTAGCCGCTGTGCCAGGAACATGGGTTTTGACTTTTTTTTTACCATCCAGAGTATTCATTTTCAATAGCTCATCTTGTTGCTTCTTACTCATTGCATGTACAAGTATGCGCTTGTTATTCAGGTACTTCGCAAACTTTACTTTGCCAACATCCTTTTCGAGAGCTTTAGCCACCGTAATAAGGTGAAAATTCTCAACAAATACAATAATCACTTTCCAGTCATTGCTCCCATATTCAGCTCTCGGGCTTCGATCTGCCCTCACTGTTTCATCCAATTCTGCCCCCGA